AAGGCAGATTTCCTGAGTCCCCAAGCTACATTTCTTGAAGCGGCAGCATAGGGTGTAGGGTTTTGTTGTTTTTTTTTTTCTCTCCTCAGTCGGTGTGGTTTCAGCCAGGACTCTTTCAGGAGCCCGGTGTCCCTGCAGAGCAGGGCTTGCTGCTGCCCTGATTGTGCAACCGGGATTCCGACGCGCTTTGGGAACAGGCAGCTGCCTGCAACTATTGCCCAACAGACCAACATCTCGCAGGGGCTCATTGCCTGTGTTAGACATTTTGTACTTCACTCCCCAAAGTCCAGGCCAGGCATCTCTAATTAACTCTGAGGTCTCCAGGTGCTTTCCAGACGCTCCCCGGGTTAGGCAGCCGGTCGAAGCGGTGTGGCGGGGCGCAAGGGACCGGGCTTGGGGGGTCAAGCATCAGCTCCGGGTGTCCCAGGGCTGAGGGGAGAAGAGCACCTGCTGCAAAGGAGTCGGATTAGCACTGGATCTCGAGCGGTGCCGTGCCCCTGGCCCGCACAGCAAACACCCGGCCGTAGGGCTAATCAAGATCTGCCCGTTAGCGCCATGTTTGTGCTTGGCTGGGCCGAGCTCGGTGCCCGGCACGGCCGAGTACGAAGCAGGCGCAGCGCCGAGGCGGCATCCTCCACACGTACCAGGTACCTGTTCTCTGCTCAGCCAGATCGAGTTAAATTTCAACACCCCTCAGCTTCAAAATCTGCCATTTCAGCCCTTAAGGCTCCCTTCCAGCTTCCAGAGCATCCGAGGTGCTCGGAGCTGTTGCGATGCCGCTGTGTGTGCTGCTCCTCCCCAGGCACTGGCTGGCCGTGGAGTACATCTGGGTCCTCGTGCCCTACATGACCTACGACATTTACGTCATGTACCTCTGCCACTGGCACAAGAGCCGGGACCGGGGAGTCGCGGAGAAGAAGCACTCGCTGGCCAGCGTGCGGAGCTTCCTCCTGCAGGAGCGGCTGATGGTGACCCACCACCTCTTCATCCTCATCGTGCTCACCCCCGTCACCCAGGTGAGGGCTGGGCACGGCCGCCGTGCGGGGAGCCCCGCTTGGCGGCAAGGCCCCGCGGCCGAGGCTGCGTCTGGCAAAGCACCTCTGCCAGTCGGGAACCCGCGACCCCCGGGAGATGCTCGGGGTTGGCTCCCTGCCATCTCCCCAGGAGATGCTCACTGCTGCCTTTGTTTGCAGCACTTCAGGGGAGAGCTGGGGGACTTCTTCGTGGGCTGCATCTTCACAGCAGAGCTGAGCACGCCTTTCGTATCGCTGGGCAAAATCCTCATGCAGGTAGGCGAGGAGGGACGGGGGTCTGGGACCCCCCCAGAGGCTCACACCCCTTTGCCGCCCCAGGCTGCCCTTCTGCTTCAGCCCCTGTTCCTGCAGCAGCTGGGCTGGGGGGCGGTTTTTTTTTCCCCCCCCCCCCTTCCTGCACCACGCTCCCTTCCTCCTGCCCCAGCCCTCTGCCCATCCTGTGCCTCCCTTCCCCCTCCATCCCTTCCCACCCTGCTTCCCTGCTCCCTCCAAAACGCTCCCCATGTCCATGCCTGCTCAGCTCCGTGCTCCCAGCGCCCGAGGAGCGATGGGGTGCTCGCTGCTCACCCCACCTTCGCCTTCTTTCTTTCCCCAGCTCAAAATGCAGGACACCCTCCTGCACAAGGTGAACGGGATCCTCGTCCTGGTGACCTTCTTCCTCTGCCGTATTCTCCTCTTCCCCTTCATGTACGCGGCCTATGCCAGGCAGGTGGGAATCCCCATTTACATGGTGCCTTTCCGCATCCCCCTGCACTGCAACATCGCCAACGCCTCCCTCATCGCCCCCCAGCTCTACTGGTTCAGGCTCATCTGCCGCAAAGCCGCCCGGCTCTACGGCAGCTC